TGTTGTGTACAGAGTAGGGTGCAAACATGTGAACAACCAACAAAGAAGAGAGACACAATTAGGTCAAATTTGGAATTGGGCCAATTTCTAAACCCGGCCCAATTAAAATGTTGTATGTTTCAGCCCAATTCAATGGTGATTGCTTATATTTTTCTGTTTTGTGGGACAATTGGGCTTGTGAGCCCGTGAATTTGTTTGAGTTAGGTGAGCCCAAAAAATATGAGCAACATCTAAACAAGCTGAACTTGGATGCCCAGGAACAAAGAATCGTGAGCGAGCCTGTTGGGTTAGTCATGGACTCATTGGTTCATTTTTCTTCTAAATTGCAAACCCTCTTCTTCTTGGTTTTTGATGGGGATGACTGCGGAGGAGGCCACGAAGCGCAATGCAGCACTTATTTCAGGTTTGGCACTGCTGCCATCTCCGTTCCATGGTGGCATGAGACACTGTTGAGGAACATTTATGGTGATATATCTTACTTGAATGCACTGCAACTTGGGTTGAAGCGTATTTCTTCTTTTGGAAGAGTTTTTATAAGAGACAATGCCTCTATCATGGACGCTATTTCTTTTGCAATTCATTTATGGTCTAACAAGGTTGCACAAGCAATATTCTTTTGGGGTTCTTTGGGTGCATTTATGAGCTATGAAAAGCATGTTTCAGACGACCTCATGATGCATCAGTTTGTTGAAAAGTCTCATATAGGTGCTATTTTGGTAAGATATCTTCAATTTGACATAATGGGCACTGTTATAATATATACTTTCTTGGTGTTACATGATGATGGACAATGGGATCCCGGTGGAGGTTATATAGCCGCATGTATTAGCTAGCCATTACAATTCAAGCAATGGGATCCGGAAAAAATGATCATCACCTTGAGAACAAGGTAATTGTTACGGGGGGAGTATTGATACGATACTATGACCACCCTAAGGGCAATTTAGGGAAAACAATATGGTTGACTCAGCAAAACAGAATGGAAGCATGGAAAAGCAAGTTAGTTACGGAGGAATTGGTTAAATATACAGGGGGGGTGCTTGTACGAGGGTCTAGAATCATAGTATTGATTGGGCCCTTTTGGGATTGGGAGAGAGTGAGACCTCTAGAATTGTCTCATACTATCTTTTATTTCTTTGTGCTTTGTTACGTTTCTGTTCATTGTATTTCCTTTGTCACCGTAATAGTCTCTGTTTATTGTCATTGTAATTGTTTTGGTTGAATATATGGAAAATCTGATGATTCAGGCCAAGGATTTGTGTTCTCTGTTATTAGTTCTGGTTTATTTATCCGAAAGTCCTTATGACAAACATCTCCTCATAACCAATGTTATAAGTCTGCGTGTGACCCTTGACTACTAATCAAGCCTTATACTTGTCAAGAGTACCATATGAATTATATTTCAAAGTATAAACCAATTTGCAACCCACTGTTTTGGCCTATCAACAACTTCGCATGTTCTATTTTTCTCCAAAGCATTCATCGCGTCATGCACGACTTGAATCCAATTCCCATCTTTTAGTGCTTCGTGCACAGATGTCAGGATTAAAATGGAATCAAGTGCTGAAATAAAACTTTTATGCTACACAAAAAGTTTCTTAGACGAGAAAAAATGAGAGATAGTTGTTGGGTACAAAACTCTTTCCCTTTCCTTAAGGCTAAATCATCAGGATTTATAATATCAAGTTCAGAAACAAAAAAAGTTATGCATTTAGTACTTACCAGTGGTTCAGGCAATTGCAATTGCTGATAGGGCAGCGTAAGTTGTTTCTTCCTCTTATATAATAATTCGAGTGTCCTAGCATTCTATAAATTAGTTGTACATTGTTAAGGGTAGGCATGTCAGATGAAGTATTAGATAAACTACCAGCCTCGTAAGCTAAGTCTTCCTGCTCATTATCATGTAGTGTAGTAATTAAGGTAGATTCAATATAGTCTAACTCAAAAAGTTTGGGCAAAGGTAAGTGGGACTCGGACTTGAAGAAAATGAACGAAGCTACTGAACTTGTCTCTCACTAAAGCTAAGGACAAGTGAAGAATGACTCATTCATTAAAGGTGACATCCATGGAGACAAACAAAACTTGCAACTCGAAGAATGATATCATTTGTACCTCTTCTTGTTTGGAGCATATCCTAGGAAGATACACTTCAGAGCTCGAGAATCCAATTTACTACGATGTTATTAATGAACATGGATGAATGCAACACACCAAAAGACGCGAGACTGAAGACTCTGCATAATATGGATAGATTGAAAGTGAGAGTAGTCATCACAACTTCTTCCCAATAAGAGTTGGGAACAAATGTATGAAAAAGTAATGCTCTAGCCTCTTCAAGTAAGTAATGGCTTTCCCTCTTAGCAACCCCATTTTGTTGAGGGGTATCTACATAAATGAGCTCATTAATCATGCCATGGTCTTAAATAAATTGTGAAAGTCGCTGGTTGATGTATTCATTACCATCATCAATCCATAGTCCTTTAATACTTTTTTTCAAACTGGGTCTCAACCAACTGGATGAATAACTATGGCATGTTTGACTTGTCCTTCATTAGGAAAATCCAAGTTACCTGGTTGCAATTATCAATGAAAGAAACAAATCACTTAGCACCTAACATACAATATACTTTAGATGTCCCCAAAAATGTACGGTGGTGTTTTGCAATTTCATAGACATTACAATGAAGTAATTCAACTAACACATGCTTGAATAGGGTCAGAAACAAAGTTTTGAGAAGACTAAAAGGTGTATACCCCAAACGCTTGCGATGAAGCCAAATCATAGACTCTGAAGTGTATTGGTTATGAGCCATCGGCAACTTTTCTCGAGCACTACTTGCAACTTTTTCTTGAAGGAGATAGTACAACCTACCCTATTCCTTAGCAACTCCAATCGTCCTTCCCATGGTGAGATCCTGAAAGACACAATGAATAGCAAATAATGTTACGGTACAATTCAAATCTGGGGTAAGTTTGTGATTGGAGAGAAGATTATGAGAGAGTTTGGGAACATGAAGAACATTTTGTAGATATAAGGAGGATTGAACTTTAATGACACAAGAACTTAGTGATACATAGGATCCATCAGCAACAATTATAGTACAAATACTAGTGATGGGCTGATAAAAGAGAAAGGTAATTAGGTTGACAAATCATATGATTAGTTTCAACAGAGACAACAATCCATAACCTTTCAAAATCAGTGCCAAAAGCTAGAAAAGATTGAGTATATATGTCTTTACTAGTCATAGCACAAGAGAAAGAGTCAGAAGTCTAACTAAAGATATCCATAAGGATTGACAAACGAGAGTGCTAACTTGCTTGAGTTATAGAAAGTCCCCAAGTAACAATAAAAATGTCAAATTTAAGCAAAGGAGGTCTAGGTTAGCCTAAAAGATCCAAATTTTATAACGAGAATAAAGACCTATAACCCAAATAGTGTTAAATCAAGGAGGTGAGGGAAAATTTGGACTTACGATGACTAGGAGACAATAATCGTGGCGGTTGGAAGGCAAACGGCGATGCCACACACCACCACACGTCCATGACAGAGGCGATGCATGAGTTTCATGCGCAAAGAGTGGGCATGTGTGGAGGCACTTGTGGGCTCCATTCTAGTTGGGCTTCTGGTGAATGGTCGCTTTGGATAGTGTGACGTCGTCTATAGGTCGCCAAATATGAAAATTCACCACAATAGTGGCCGAACAGAATCTGAAAATGCGACTGAAGCTTGAATGGGGATTAGAGGTGTGTGGGTATTCTTTCAGGCGTGAAACTGTTGTAGATTAGTAGACTGGGAGATTATGAGATCAAAGGTGGTCTACTCGGTCAAATAAGTCGCCGGAAATTTTTTTCGATGACAGCCTATGGCAGCATGGTGACCAAAGATCAATCGAAAAAGAGTTCTCTCTTAAGGTGGCAGCTGCGGAAGTAAGACATGCTCCCAGGTCGAGAGCTTATATTTTGACTTAAAGAAGAAAAAACTTAAAATATTTTATGGATTCTCAAGAGTGGATGTGTAGAGGATTACGATATATATAGAGAAACTAATGGTTCTAAAGGAAGAAGCTCAATTCCTTAAAAATAAGGAAACACTAATCTAATTAATAAAAGAAACAAATATTACAAATATTTTCCATATTTATAGCATGCTCCTTTTGATAGTTTGAAGAACTTCTCTAACAAAGAACTTTGTTGGTGAGGCCAACGTCGTGTCTTAGCAAGCCCAATGTAGGTCGAAGTCATATCGAATCCTGGTGCTTGAGCTTGTATGGGTAAATAAAAAGAGTTGCACCCTAACTAATAGCTATAACTTTTGACCTAGTAGTAAGCACTCGATCCAACACTTTCATTTGCCATTACTTCATATACTTCAAGATTTTCTTAGTATTTTTTAAATTACTTGTTGAATTTCAAAGCAAGAGCAATTTTCCAATTGCTAATTCATTTTGCAAATCAAAGGTTTCTAATGTCAAAGCTGATACTCAAATAACTTATATTGATAATTGTTAGAAATTTGGAAAATGCATAAGACATCATTACCTAACATGTGTAGGTGCTATAGAACTTTGAGGATATAAAATTAAAAGATTTTGCATTATTCTTTTGCTATAACCACTTCGAATTATGTCTAACACACCCAGAACAATTGAAGGAACTTTTATTTACTCAATTAACGAACTTTAACATAAATACAAGGACAAAGTCTTGCAAATGTACATGAACTGACAAGTACCACCATAAAGAATCCAAATGAACAATTCTTGCGAAAAGCAAAAGGTGATATAGAATGAATCTTTAAGGTTGTAGTGAATAATATTTTTGAAAGATTAATTACAGATATTCAGGAAGCTTATTAGAAAAAAATTAAAATTTAAACTGTTATGTTTCTTTTATATATTGACAGCAATAGACATAAATCATCATTAATACTAATTCCTTGAAGCGCATATATCCCATCCACTGATTGAAAAAGTAGCTGAATCAAAGCATGAACTTACCTCAAAGATATAAGTACATATTCCCATTGCAGGGCTAGCCAGTATACCAAATGAAAAGACAGTCAACCTGTAGTAAAAAGAAATTCATAGAACTAAGATAGAGACATTAAGAGCCAGTTTAGCCAAAAAGCTTGTTTTTAGCTTAGAAACTACTTTCAAGCTAAAACTAAAAATAAGAGCTCAAAGAATAAATCTAAAGCTGTTTGGACGTCAGCATACATAAAACGCTAATTTCTCAAACCATAAAAGCAAACCATCAATGGAATGTCTCCACCACTTTAGTTTTTGGTCAGTTAAATCTTTTATGAGGTTAAAAAAAAAAAAAATTACGACTTTGCTTTATTTTTAAAAATGGATTAAGATCGATAAGGGAACCTAGTTCAGATAATCATTGGTGGCGGTGGCAGCAGCAGAGCAGGAGAAAGTTGGTCCGGCAACCAAGCCACTTGGGTGATGGAATACAAATATCGATTCCAGAACAACAAAGGTGAAGCAGAATCTCTTGACGGCACTCCACTTTCCATCGGCTGAGCTCTTCATTGAAGCGCTTGATTGCAGCATGAAGCTCGGCACCATGGGCAGTCCGTCACACAAATTCTTGAAGGTGATCTCGAGGGTGTTCTTGCTACAAATTGATTCCATGTGCTTGTGATCCTTGAGCCGGTCAAGGCCATCGGCGAAGGGCTTGATGAGATGAGCCGGCGACATTGGGTCACTAACACCACTGTTGAGGAGGGCATTCTACTCAAGGGACAAAGGGCATTTATGTCGTTTCTCCATGCATTCGAGTGAGTGAAAATGTGTTGTTATTTATATTGTTATGTTAGATGTCGCAGAAGAAAAGAGAAGCCAAAATCTAGAAGCTCCTCCCAGTAACTTCTTATGCGAAACTCTTTACATGATTTTTCTTCAATTAGACCCTTGTAGTTTCACATAGAATTAACTCCACCTTTCATATTTCGTATCATCCTCCAATACCATGAAAAAATATGTATACAACAAGAAAGAAACTATTGTTATATAGATCCTAAGAGCCGGTTTGGCACATCTTCTTTTTAAACCAAAAGCTACTTTTAAGCTGAAGTTAAAAAATAAAAAAAAAAGGAGCTTAAAAAGTAAATATAAAATTTTCATGATATTTTTAGGGTTTTGAAGAGGAGACCTGGAAAGGACAGACACATTAAAACAGATGAACAGTTGGTATCCGACACACGTTCAACGATTTCTGACACTTTGACTAATGTGACACATTTTTGACAGAGTCCGTTACGGTCAAATGGCATTTTTTGTAAATAAAATCACAAGTTTTCAAAAATTAATATTTATATAATAAAAAATTAAAATAAAAGATTAAATTACAAATAACCCCTAAAAACTCAAATTAAACAGTGCAAAAGAAAAATTACATCAATTCAAAAAATAGAAAAAACACTTTCTCTTCCTTCGCTCTAAATCATATACCTAAATTTATTCAAATCAAACAACACCCAAATAATTCACTCACCAAGCAGCCTTCTTCAGTTCTTCCCATGGTACTACAATTCTTCTTTAGTCTTCCTTTGCATCCAAATTTATTTTCTTTGATTTCTTTTTTTTGTTTAAATTGATGGATGTAATCAGTTGATTCATTTTTTTTTTAAGTTATTACATATGAAATGTAATATACACTATATATATAAAAAAATGTTATATAATATTAAAACTTGCCCCATGTGTCAAAATCTAAATTTTTTTAGAATTTACGTGTTGAGTGTCATATCACATGTTGCCTGTCAGTGCTTCATAAGAGGGGACATGGAATAATTTGTCATAAGGGAACAGAATAAATAAAATAAAGGTAAAACTATAAAATAAAATGACAACTGCAAAAAGTTGGCATACATCTTAAAAAAGAAAAAAGGGTAAGGCCAAGGTTCATGGGCTAGAACCAATAGGAGGTCCAATAATGCAAGAGGATCCAGTTGTTGGTTCACAACAGAATGGTTAGAAGGAGGGTTCAGCTGATCCACAATAGAATGGTGAGAAGGAGGGTTCAACAAATACACATATGAATGGGCGGAAATTTATTGCTTAGAGGAGAGAGAAGATGACTAATGGGTTGTTGGGATATGGGATATATAGTGTGTAAGGGTGGGGGCGTTTTCCATGGAGAATTTTATGTAAAGGTGGGTTGGGGAATTGGAGGAGCCGGTATCAATTCTCTGGGTAGTCAATGTCTATATTTTCATTCCTCTATAGGTCGTGTCAGCCATTTGAATCTATTCTCTTTTTTTATGAATTGGTGATGGTAAGGAGCTCTGTCTCTTATTTTTTCAATTCTCTTATTTTTTCAATTAATAAAATAATGTCTCGATTTGAATTCCATCATTTTGGTAATTCCATCATTTTCAAATAAATTGTGTCAACCGCCTGACCCTTGGAGCTTTGGATGGTACAAACGAGGATGGAGAGAATGATGGATTCTGTGAAAAGGTCAACCTAGTTTGAAGGGAGGATAAATGAGACGACTGAGACTATGAGGCAACTACAAGAAATGATGTTGTCTTAGTTAGATAGAGTGGAGGACAACAAGAGGATAGAGACAAAAACAGAGGACTTAGGACAAGAGGAATTAATATAGAAAAGGATGAAATCAGGAGGTTAGAGGTATCCTTTTTTGCAAGGTGTGATCCATATGGATGTATATACCGTGCTAAGAGGTATTTCAAGGTCAATCGAATTCCCCCGAAGGAGCAGGTCGAAGCTGCATCAATATGCATGGAGGGGAGGGCTGGGCTGTAAACGGGTTCCAATGGTGGGTGTCCATGAACCCAGCAATCACTTAAGGGCAGTTTCGTGCAGCACTCTTGCAATGATTCCATACTTCCACATCTAGAAATCCACACGTTGATGTGTTTACGCCAACTAGTTATTGTCTCTAAGTTCAGAGAAAATTTTAAAATTTTGATTTTTCTAAATGGGTTAAAGGAAGAAATATGAATTGAGGTAAGGTTGCACACAACAGAAACTATGGAGAAAATAATGTCCCTAGCACAGAAGATTGAGGAGGAGATCATGTTAGGGAGGACGAATGGTGGTATGGGTCGTAATAGATCTGGGTTGAGTGGATCGGGTCATCATTGATGACCCGCGATGACAACTCGATCGGTAAATCAAACGGGTTCAACGAGAGGAGAGGTTGGCGACGGTGTGGGCCAACACCAACGTTTTGGGCCCAAGAACTTTCAGTGAGGGCCAATGGCATAGGGGGAGTCTCGCCTAACTAGTCCAAACCAAAGAGTTGTTGACCCTGGGAGTGGATTAAAGCACAATGCGATTAAAAGGGAGATTGAAGTGCATCTGTATAGGGTGTAGCTTCAGAAGTGGTGGTGATCGATTTCGGTGACTATCATCGAAAGAAATGGCCAACAAGAGGCGAATGGAATCTTTGTTTTCATTGTGACACCCCTTACTCTACCAATCACATGCAAGAACCCTAACTTTCATGTAATGTCAATGGGGGTGGGAGATGCTGACGAGCTTTTGGACAAAGAGGCCATGGCACATGAGTTGGAAAGGGAGAAGTTATCCATGAGATTGAGCATACACATCGTGGTACGGAAGACGTTGTTAACAACACCTTTATCCTAAACTAGTTAGGGTCGGTAGCAAATAAACCCAAATGAAAAGCACAAAAGTATTGAGAAAAAAAGATAACAAATATAATATAAATATAAATAGAAAAATAAATTAAAATAAAATGAAAATAAAGATTCATAATAAGGCAAAAAAAGAATAAGAAAGTAAAAATAAAAAAAGTTAAATTAAATAAAGAAAAAAGAGAATAAATAAATAAATAAGAGAAGTTGAGAGAAAGGACAAAATAAAAGGGGAGGTGGTGATCGATTTCGGTGACTATCATCGAAAGAAATGGCCAACGAGAGGCGAATGGAATCTTTGTTTTCATTGTGACACCCCTTACTCTACCAATCACATGCAAGAACCCTAACTTTCATGTAATGTCAATGGGGGTGGGAGATGATGACGAGCTTTTGGACGAAGAGGCCATGGCACATGAGTTGGAAGGGGAGAAGTTATCCATGAGATTGAGCATACACATCGTGGTACGAAAGACGTTGTTAACAACACCTTTATCCTAAACTAGTTAGGGTCGGTAGCAAACAAACCCAAATGAAAAGTACAAAATTATTGAGAAAAAAAGATAACAAATATAATATAAATATAAATAGAAAAATAAATTAAAATAAAATGAAAATAAAGATACATAATAGGGCAAAAAAAATAAGAAAGTAAAAATAAAAAAAGTTAAATTAAATAAAGAAAAAAGAGAATAAATAAATAAATAAGGGAAGCTGAGAGAAAGGACAAAATAAAAGAAAAAAAGGACAAAATAAAAGTGGAGGTGGTGATCGATTTCGGTGACTATCATCGAAAGAAATGACCAATAAGAGGCGAATGGAATCTTTGTTTTCATTGTGACACCCCTTACTCTACCAATCACATGCAAGAACCCTAACTTTCATGTAATGTCAATGGGGGTGGGAGATGCTGACGAGCTTTTGGACGAAGAGGCCATGGCACATGAGTTGGAAGGGGAGAAGTTATCCATGAGATTGAGCATACACATCGTGGTACGGAAGACGTTGTTAACAATACCTTTATCCTAAACTAGTTAGGGTCGGTAGCAAATAAACCCAAATGAAAAGCACAAAAGTATTGAGAAAAAAAGATAACAAATATAATATAAATATAAATAGAAAAATAAATTAAAATAAAATGAAAATAAAGATACATAATAGGGCAAAAAAAGAATAAGAAAGTAAAAATAAAAAAAGGTAAATTAAATAAAGAAAAAAGAGAATAAATAAATAAATAAGAGAAGTTGAGAGAAAGGACAAAATAAAAGAAAAAAAAGGACAAAATAAAACGGGAGGCAAAGAAAGGGAGATAAAGGGAAAAAGGATTAAAAAGGCACCACCTGGAACATAAACATGGGAGGAGGGTGGTGTGCTCATCGATTCAAGGGCTTCTCACAATTTTGTGTGATGCTCAAGTTGCAAACGAGCT